CAAATACAGAGATGTATCTTTCTTTTTCATATAGGGTTTTTAGAATGAGCGTGCAATTTATTCCATTAGAACCATTTTCAATGGGTGTGAAATATGTGAAGCAATGTTCCTGCTTGAAAGTTGGAAGACCCGATATTGGGTCAAAATGGGATTAAAATACCACTCCAAAAAAAGCGCAACTGAAAAAGAAAAATATTTGGAAGGTCAGTACCGTGTTGAAAAATATTGGGATGATGCCGCTTGCTCGTGTGCGTTGCCATCATCATCGTTGCCGACACCAGACATGTCGAGGTAGTCACTCTCAAGTCAACCACGCAGAAGATGATGAACATGTCAAAGACAACCTCGCCGAGAGGAGTAAGTACCACCATGAACGAGGGTGGAGGATCTGGCCATGGTGGTGCTCCATGGCCCCGATTCTCGTTGCCGCCATTCTAGCTTCCCACCGCCGATGCCCTTGACTACCCGACCATCCCCTCCTTCATTATGTCTTCTTGGCTGCTGTAACGCCCACGATGCGGCTATATCTCCCACGTGTCGCAGCACGACTTAGAGGCATAACCGCATTGTAAATAATATCGCAAGAGGGGTAATCTTTACACATCCCATGTACTGAATAAGGAAAGCGATACATAGTTGGCTTACAATCGTCACTTCACACCATACATGAATAAAGCATTACAACATCCAGATACAATCAAGGTCCGACTATGGAACCAAAATAAAAGAAGACCACCCCTAATGCTACAGATCCCCGATCGTCCCAACTGGGCTCCACTACTGATCAACTGAAACGTAACAACGCAATGAACAAGATCTTCATAGAGCTCCTCCTTGAGCTCGGTTGCGTCATCTGCACGGTATCATCGGCACCTGCAAACTGGTTTTGGAAGTAATTTGTGAGTCACGGGGACTCAGCAATCTCACACCCTCGCGATCAAGACTATTTAAGCTTATGGGTAAGGTAAAAGGTATGAGGTGGAGCGGCAGCAAGCACTAGCATATATGGTGGTTAACATACGCAAAAGAGAGCAAGAAGAGAAGGCAAAGGCATGGTCGAAAAACTATGATCAAGAAGTGACCCTAGAACAACCTACGTCAAGCATAACTCCAACACCGTGTTCACTTCCCGAACTCCGCCGGAAAGACACCATCACGGCTACACACTCGGTTGATCCATTTTAATTATGTTAGGCTTTAGGTTTTCTACAACCGGACATTAACAAATTCCCATCTGCCCATAACCACGGGCACGGCTTACGAAAGTTCAAATTCCTGCAGGGGTGTCCCAACTTAGCCCATCACAAGCTCTCACGGTCAACGAAGGATATTCCTTCTCCCAGGAAGACCCGATCAGGCTCGAAATCCCGATTACAAGACATTTCGACAATGGTAAAACAAGAACAGCAAAGCCGCCCGAATGTGCCAACAAATCCCGATAGGAGCTACACATATCTCGTTCTTAGGGCACATCGCATGAGCGCTCCGTACAACTAAAACCAAACCTCGAGTTTCCCCGAGGGGGCGCTGCAAAGGGCTCTAGTTTGGACCAACACTCAGAGGAGCACTGGCCTGGGGGGTTTAAAATAAAGATGACCCTTGAGTCTGCAGAACCCAAGGGAAAAAGGCTTAGGTGGCAAATGGTAAAACCAAAGTTGGGCCTTGCTGGAGGAGTTTTATTCAAGGCGAACCGTCAAGGGGTTCCCATTATAACCCAACCGTGTAAGGAACGCAAAATCAAGGAACATAACACCGGTATGACGGAAACTAGGGCGGCAAGAGTGGAACAAAACACCAGGCATAAGGCCGAGCCTTCCACCCTTTACCAAGTATATAGATGCATTAATTAAATAAGAGATATTGTGATATCCCAACAAATATCCATGTTCCAACAAGGAACTAACTCCAATCTTCACCTGCAACTAGCAACGCTATAAGAGGGGCTGAGCAAAGCGGTAACATAGCCAAACAATGGTTTGCTAGGACAAGGTGGGTTAGAGGTTCATGGCAATATGGGAGGCATCATTAGCAAGTGGTAGGTATCATAGCATAGAAATAGCAAAAGAGCGAGCATCTAGCAAGCAAAGATAGAAATGATTTCGAGGGTATGGTCATCTTGCCTGCAAAGTTCTCTGAGTTGACGTTAGCTTGAACCTCATAAACATACTCAATGGGTTCCTCGATCACGAACTCGGCTCCTAGCTCTACCCAAAGCAAGAACACAAGCAAAGGTAACAACCATCAACCACGTGCAATGCACAAGCCACAATGATGCAAAACATGGCATGATATGCGGGATGTGATATGCAATGCATATGCATGCTTCGGAAAGGAAAGATTGAACCTGGCCTCAACTTGGAAAACCAAGAGTGCCACTGGAAAGAGGAGTTGATTTCGTCGAAATCAATATAAAGATCACCGGAATCGGATGCACGGTTTGCAAATGACAAGCAAAACAAATATGGCACCGGTCT